TATAATTTTTTACTACTATTATACTCATTTTCTCTTTTATGTTACCTTTCATCATTGTTTATTATTTACCTTGTTATTATTTCTTTTATTTAAATTTATCCTATTTTTCTAGTCATCTAGTGAAAGCTGAGGGTCTGAGACCTTTCTTTTTCAATATAGGTATTTGGCATTATGAAATTTCCCCTACTATTGTGCCAGTTTCATTCACAAATTTCAATATGTTGAGTTTTAATTTTCTCTCATTTCAAAATACTTTCTGATTACCCTTTTGATTCTTCTTTGATTCATGAATTATTTAGAACTGAGTTTTTTAATTTTAGATATCTTTCTGTCATTGATTTCTAACTTCATTGTGTGAAGAGTCAATATAATTTTGTATGGTTAGAGTTCTTCTAAATTTATTGAGAATCACACAATCAGAATATAGATTATATTAGAAAATGTTCTGTATGTGTTTGAGAAGAGTTTGCATTTGGCTATAGTTGGGTAAAGTGATTGATAAATGTCAGGTCAGGTTGGATAATAGCTGTGTTACAATCTTCTTCTACATATTCACTAATTTCCCCTTTATTTGTTTATAAGTTATTGAGAGAGGAATACTAACATCTCAGGCTATAATAGCAAGGTACAATATTGGATTTTTCTATTTTTTTTTGTAGTTCCATCAGATTTTGCTTCATTTACTTTTAATCTCTCTTATTAGATGCATAAACATTTAGAATGCTATCTCCTATTGATAATAATTGAGACTTTTAACATTATGAAATAACTTTCCTTATTGCTTTTCATATTTTTTTTGCTATGAAATATACTTTGCCTAGTATTAATATGCATTTTAGAGCTTTCTTTAGATTACTGTTAGCATGGTATATCTTTTTACATTTTGCTATTTTAGCCTCTTCTTTATATTTAAGATGTGTTTATTGTAGGCAACATATGCTTAGTTCTTATTTTTTAAGCCCAACCTGATGATCTCTGCCTTTTAATTGAGATATTTAGACAGTTTTCATTAAATGTGATGATTGATATCATTAGGTATAAATATGTTATCTTGCTATTTGCTTTATGCTTCTCCCTCATTATTTTTAAAGGTTTATTTTTTCTAGATAGTCATCTGTTTATATTATGTACTTAATTTGCCTACACTTATTTATTTGCATCCTGCTTGGAATTTCTTTACATCATGAACCTAAGAATCTGTGATCATTGTGAATTCTTGATAATTCTTAGCTAATGTGTCATATAAATATCACCTTTACTCCATTTTCTCTAATCATAACTTTCTGCCCATATTCTCTAGTTTTAAAAATCTTGTTAGGCACATGTTGACTTTTTTCAGATAATTTAGGCTTATAATTAGTGAGGAGAATTTTAAAATGCATATGCATATAGAATGCCAGTGGTGGATAAAATATTGTATGTTCTGTTATTTCTTGCTTAGAAATTATACATTTAAATTTTAGAAAATTTAGAATGAGTATAGATATATTAGATGCTAATATTAGCAGTTAATTTTATAGTTGAACTTCAGACTGGAGATTAGGTAATTTGTCTAAGAATGTATATTTAGGACAAAATAAGTTTGTTTTTCAAATGAACTAAATCCTTTAATATCTTTTGCTTCAAAATATTTATGGGTATTGACATGTGCTATAATGTGAGACTGCATCCCCCCCACTTTAATTCATAAATTTAAGTCCTAGCCCTTTTTACCTCAGAGTGTGGCTATATTTGGAGATAGTTCTTTTAAAGAGGTAATTAAGAAACAAATATGAGGTCATTAGCGTGGGCCTTAATCCAGTATGACTGGTGTTCTTATAAGAAGAGGAGATTAGGCACAGACATGTATATAGAGAAATACCCTGATAAAACTAGTAAACTAGATATCAATCTGGTAAACTAGAAGACAATGACCCTTATAAGAGAGGCTTCTGAAGAAATCAACTCTGCCAACAACTTAATCTTGGATTTACAGCCTGCAGAACTATAAGGAAATAAATTTCTATTCTTTAAACCATGCAGTTTGTGGTACTTTGTTATAGCAGCTCTAGCAAACTAATACAACATCTTAATTTTTTTATTATTATCCCTAGGGAACATATATTTTATGAAAGGTGAAGACTTTCTTGTGTTCATATGTCTTCTCTGTATAATTTTGGAAACTGTTAGATCAGATACAAAATCTGTTTTGTTCAGCTGCTTCTGTCCTGTGTTTTTCTATTCCTTATAGGTACTTGAGACATGCTATTTTTCTATTGGGATGTTCTATCTCTTCCTATAGATTTATTATATTCGTCTAATGAAGAATTTTATTGGAATTAAGGTCCATTATTAACTTGGTTGGATTGTTTACTATTAAATATAATGGCAATAATTTAGGTGTATTTGAAAATAACAGTTATAGTGTGTCTGTCTACTTGCATATTTATCCAGGATGTAAGTCTATATGCGGGAGAGTAGTATGCTGCTATTTGAGGTTTCCAGGATAGCTTAAATAATGACCTAGTGGCCTATATTTTTTATAGGTTCTAAAAGTTTCTAATGTTACACTGGGAAATAAAAGAGGCTTACTAACATTTAATTTTCATTTGCTTTGTGGGAACATCTATGTAATCCTACAAGGTAAATATTCTTGGTTATTATTTCCACCGGCAAGCAGTTTTTCTTTTCATTTATATACTGCCTTTTGCCATACAGACTTTGTCATATTTCTTAAGTTCATTTGGTTATAAAGTTACTTTAAAATGTCAAACTCATCAATCATATATTTCCTGGACTTCCATAATATAACTTGACTCTTAAATTTACAGTTCTTTTGCTGAGTATAATTTAGCTTTTAAATTTATAGATCTTCTTTCTGGACAGATCAAGCTGTTCAATGTTTGAATAATGTATTCTTGATAAAGGATAGAGTGGGTTTTTATAAAGAACATGACTGACAACACCTTGACCTGATCAGGATAATTTCAAGTTGAAATTTGAGAGGAGAAAGAAATACTGATAAAACTAGTGAACTAGGTATCATGAAAGGCAGTGGTTATAAAGAAGGACCCAGAACAGCACTATGGCTTCTGGTATTTATCTTCTACTTCACAGAGATGCTGGTGTTAAAGTAAATCTGAAATTTTAATAGAAGGCAAATACGTTTTCTAGTTATATAAATTTACATGAACATTCTATATTCCGAAGTATCCCTGAAGCTTGATGAGTAAGTATCATTATTTTGTATTTTATGGTTTGGTTTTGGAATATATGTCATATGACAATATTTGTTGACAGTAAACAATGTTTTAAAATATTATAAATATGTTTATAATGTGAGTAGAGTAAATGCAGTTACAGTGGGAAGGAACATAAATTTCACTGAATCCTATCTAATACAAGACAAGGGAACATAATCTTATGTCAAGAAGAGGTCTTCACAAAGGAAGTTGTTAAACATGATGGTAAAAATTTGGGGATTTTGGGTGGTGATAAGTGGAAAGAAAAGCAGAAATTCTGTTCTTATGGAACCAGGGTTTAGTTTCTTAAATGTAGGACAGAACATTTTAATTTCTAAGGTTATCTCCAACCCTATTCTCTGTTAATGCAAATAAGGTTGATATTTTTGAAACGTGGGATGAAAAAGTTTTCTTTCCCAAATCTAGTATGTATGAGAATTGAATGGAGCTGGGTTTGTTGGCACACACCTGTAATCCCAGTGACTTGGGAGGCTGAGGCAGGAGGATTGCAAGTTCAAAGCCACCTCAGCAATTTAGCAAGACTCTAAGCAACTGGATGAGTTCCCATCTCAAAATAAATAAAAAAAGAAAAAGGTCTGGGGATATGACTTGGGTGGTTAGGCTGTTCTGGGTTCAATCCTTGGTTACCACTGCCCCCCCCCCCAAAAAAAAAAAAAGAAAATAAAAAAATTGAATGGAACATTTGTTAAACTGTATATATCTGAGATCAGAAATTCTGATTTAATTTTGAAGTAGGACCTAGCAGTCTACATTTTATGTTTTAGAATGAGGATTCCGTGTTATTCTTTAGATAAAGTAAGTTTATTAAAATATCATTCTTTTGCATTTTATGGTTTGGTCTTGGAATATATGTCATATAGACAATCTTTATTAACAGTAAACAATGCTTTAAATATTATAAATATTTTTATAATGTGAGTAGAGTAAATGCAATTACTTTATAACATTTGCTGCTGTAATTTAGGGTGTTGTGAAGAAAGGGAAAGTGGTACGTAAATGAATGAGGGCAATAATTGAAGTCAGCAATTCTACATGAATTTGTTATTTTAGATCCTCAGGGAAGCAGATACCAAGATATGGGGTAAGAAGTGAGAGATAAAGGGGAGGAGGGGAAGGCATAGGGAATATTTAGATTACTGTGAAATCTGATACTTTGTAGAAGTTGAGTGAAGGAAAATGGATGGGGTTCCGTGATACAGGCCTGAGCAAATCTAAGCCCGTCCAATGGTCAACTCTGATGTGACAACAAAAAAGTCCATTGTTGACCAGACACAGCCAGACCCTGGCTCCCTCAGAGTTCACAGTCATGGACATCTTTGTGGACAGAATGTGGCCTCTGCTCCAGCACTGTGGCACATCCTAAGTGCTGGAACTCCCAGCTCCCCCACTCCTCCTGACAGGCACCTCCTGAAGGGAAGCAGAGCAGTGCACATTCCTGGCTGCCACATATTTTTTGATGCTGACCGAGTGCGAATGCATACTTGGAGGCATAATTGGACATCATCTATGCTGATTTCCTTTGGCTTCTGTTTTTTTGCTTCTACTTTTATTGTTTTAAGTCTCTCCGATTCCATTTAGTCCCACACATTTTTCCTCCTCCACCCATCAGGTGTATGATGTGAATGATTCTATTCATGTATGATTTTGTTTATATCGATTCAAAAATAAATACCCTTTGTTAGGATGTGATGGTTAAAAACTGCTCTGTAAAGATATGGGATTTTAACAACTCAAGAGTCTTTCATGTTCTTCCTCTAGTCTGGCACCAAGAAGAACTTTCTCGGATTAACCAGTGTCTCACTGGAGCTGAAAGGAAGGCTGCTTTGTGTGAACTTTTGGAAAAAGAGACCCAGATAATTGCTTCCATTGGGAGACACAGATCCATTGCTTATTTGGAAAGAGAGGAATCAGAAAAACAAGTTTTTTTGAATAAGGTTAGTGAAGAAACTGTTATTTCAATATGAATGTATCTGGAGTTTAAAAATGTGTAATCATGATCTAAAAGGATAGAATTGTAAGAATTTGCATGAATTTTGTTTAGCATTTTGATGGCTTATTTCTTTAAGTTCCATATATTTAATTCTTGTGTAGCTGTATATGTTAGTCACAGCCAAGAATTAAGAATGATAAGTAACACAAAAGGAACGTGTTCTTAACTAAAGGGATTTGATCATGAAGGAAAAGATGGCGACACCTTCCTTGTGTCTCTGTTCATTTAAATTTAGGCTGGCTGTGTGAAGTAGATAAGTTGCACACTCTGGTGAAATGCATGGTATGAAAATCACAGAACATCAGGGTCTGGGGTACTCTGATAGTAAGCAGCCTGGGGAAAATAACTCAAGTCTGGTGTCTTACTTGGGGCTCACTATACCATCAACTGACCCAAAGGGTTTATGATTATTGAAAACCATGAAAAAATTCAGTTAAGGGGAAAACTAAAGTAATTACCCTTTTGTGGTCAAACTGCCTGTTTGATATTGAATAGCTTGTTTCCATAGTAACACAGTTCCTTTTATAAACCTGATCTTTCCAAACAATTAAAAGCCAATCCAGCCAGAAGAAAAGGATGAATTTCTCCAATAGATTAGCCTGTAGTGATTCTAGTTTTGTGGTTCTTATTTTTTGAGAACATTTGCTCTTAAAAACTATATATATATATATATATATATATAGTTTATCTATATAGTTTATGAGTATATATGTACATATATATGTGTGTGTGTGTATATATGTATGTATGTATATATATACTTTAAATGACCTCCTATTATTTTACTTATACACTATTTCATCCCAGTTTATTTTGGCTTTTGCTACAGTTCCAGGTCCAGGCCAAACCTATAAGAGCTTTCAAATCATCTATGCAGCTTCCTACTAGCATTGTCCCTTGGATACCTCAAGAGTGCACCTCAAAATGAAGTAGCAACCCTAAGTCATATCATTTCACCATTTTTTACCCTCCTCACCTCCATACAGATCCTATTCTATAGCACTGGTATAACCTTTCTTAGGAATGTTTCATCATCTACTCATTTGCTCTAGACAGTTGCCTGGTTGGTGTTCTTTCTTCCCCATCTGGCTACAAACCTCTTTTATTTCTATTACTTTAATATCTCCTTAATTCTGCATTTTTTCCTTTCTGACTCACTATCATTGAGTACAGAGAAATGACTCTTTTGTGGCATCCTGATAACCTTGCCTGTAACAAGTAGGCCACACAGGCAAAGACTTGGAGCACAGCTATTGTGAGACTTGTCAGAATGCCTTCGGATCCTCCTGGAACAGGAAAGGAGAAGGGTAGCAGCTCAAGTTTCCTGCCTCCCCATTTTCCCTGAGAGAATGTCACAAGATAGGCCTTGCCTTTTCTTGTCCATAAAATTGACACTTATTTGATGGACTCTGGATTTTATTCTCACCTGGATTATTTTATGTTTCCAAGTTGGACTATTGCCTCTAGTCTAAACTTCTCAGTTCCCTCCTCCAACATCTACACCAGGGCCATAGTGACCTCACTAAACACACCTCTGATCCTGTCCTTCCCCATTGCCCTGAGAGAGCAGTGCTTCTTCTCATGATCTGTGATATCTCCCTCATCCACTGTTTCCCTGTCACCACAAACACTGCCCCAGCCATGCTCAATTACTTGCATGTCCCCAGAAGGACCTCATATCCTCATTATGCTTTTGCATCTGAGGCTGCCTCTACATGAAACATCCTTTCCCTTCTTCTGTAGTAGCCAGCTACTCACCCTGTAAAACAGGCTCAGATGTCCCTTCTTCCAAAGAGGACCTGCTGATTCTCCTACTAGCCTGCACTGGGACTAGCTGTCCTGGGACTCTGTCTCACCTTTGTCTTTGTATGCAGTGGCCATGTTTTGCTGTCTGTATTGAATGTCTGAATTCTTCCTAGATTCTGCACTTCTTAAGGCAGGAGATGTCTTTCATCTCTGTATCCTTATGTCTTAGTACATTCCTTATCACAGTATCAAGAAATGTTTGTGGAGAATGGCAGGGAGGAGAACCAAGGAACAGATATAATGGTGTGCAATTTTACATTTCAAACATCATCAAGAAATTATGTAGATTCTGTCATTTAAAATTCTTGAATATCTTTATTCTGAGAAAGAAGACTCTACCGTAGGGAAAGCTGTAATACTCATATTTATTGTCATATTTCAAACAAAGCTTCTTCCTGTAGCAGGTTGCTTTTACTTGCATTCAAGTTTCAGCTCTGGAAACTATTCTGATGTGTCTGATCATTAATCTCACCAGAGAGAATAGCATGACTCCAGGAAACATGGGTGTTTCCATGAGCTGGAGGCTTCTAAGTGCTAGGGGACAGGAAGATGGGTGGCACCTATCCTTTCTTACTTGAGGCTGGTCCATCTCCAAGATGTTCCATATGTGCTATCATTGCTGCTTTCAATTTCCTATGAACTGCTGGAAATTCTGCTGTTCTAAATACTTGTACAATGCCTGTTCCTCTTTATGTGATGACTGTCTCACGTTCCAGTCCCCATGTCCAAAGCATCATCTCTAAACATTTTTTGAAATTATATAGAACTCATCAGTGGGTCAAAGCCCAACATGTAAAAGTGACTTCAGAGCCAGTTGATTACCCTGACCCTTTCTCACGAAGTATAGCATGTTAAGAGCTCTTTATGTAAATTTCATTTAAAAAGCAGATAAAATGGAGAAATTTTGTTTACAAGGATTCCTTTGAGGAAGGAAGACCTTTTTTTTTTTTTTTTAATACTTGATAAGTTTTTGACATAGAATTTTAGGTCCTAAAGAATCCTGTGTGTTATAAAGAATTGCTGTGTGTTAGGAAAATAGATGTTTTTGATTTATTTTGTTGTTGTTTTGGAAGAGGAGAAAGAACCAGATAAGTGAGCTGGATTTGTAAGGCTGTAAGGCTGATGTAAGGCTGATGCAGGGTACCACAGAGAAGAAAGACCAGAAAATTGAGGGAAAGATTTAAATGTTAGCCACAAGAAATCAAAGGAAGGTTTCTTGTGGGTCACAGATTTCAGAATTGGAGTTCTAATCCTATAGACACCCAAGATGAGAAACCAGTTGATCTCAATTCCCAGGTTAAGTTCAGAGGCAGTGTACATTTTAGCTAGTTTTGACCAAAATGTTATTTTGGCTAAGAAAAACAAACCATATAATGGAACACTTAGACTTGAGAACAATCCCCAGTGTAATCTCATAATCTTTGGAAATACAGAGTAACTGTGACTTTTAGCCTGTTGCAGTAAATTAAAAATCTGTTGCTACTATAATGCAAAATAAGTTTTATCTTTTTGTATATGCTGCCATACTGAACATCTAAAAAGCAAGATAAATTTTATAAAGTCTTTGTTGTAAATACTTATACAAGATTCCTGTCCACCTCCCCCATGCTATGCCTGGTGTTGTCTCTGATATTCAGGTGGAGTTGGTGTTGATTTAAAAAATGTTCATTGAAGTAACTTCTTATTCTATGGGATTTTTTTTATTGCTAAGAAAAAATAGTTTAAAATTAGTACTTGAAGCTAGACAAGATGTCAAAACTAACAAACAACCAGAGACATATTACAAATATTCAGATCTACATTTTTTAGCATCATAACATACAGATACTTAAACAGAAACAGAAATATTTGCTTTCTTATAGTTTGGAAATAACTTCAGAAAATAAAACTTTATGTATTGGTTTTAGTTTAAGTTCACTGAGTCCAAATACTTTGTGGTCCATTGAAATAATATTTTATGTTTTATCTTTTTATCCTGAACATAGAATTTCTCTGAATAATGAATGATATGATTTTAAATTGATCCAACCAAGTAAGTTATAATGAGTTTCTATGCTGGGTTTTCAATTTTTTTTAGGTTTTTTTTTTTAGTTGTCAATGGACCTTTATTTTATTTATTTATATGTGGAGCGGAGAATGGAACCCAGTGCCTCACACATGCTAGGCAAGTGCTCTACCACTGAGCCACAACACCAGCCCCATAAGTTTTTATTCTTGCTAAGTGACTTACTCTAAATATTTTTCAAAGCATTAAATAATTTGTAATTTTAACACATCAAACATTGACTTCCACAGGTTGTCAGATATTAAAAGCCTATAGGTTGACAGAGGTGAAGAAATTCAGGTCAAGAAATTTGAAAGAAAAATCATCAGCTGGTTTCTAATGTATCTTGGATGCTCTTTACCCACTCTGCATCAAGAGATCATTTGAATTTTGTAAGAGGTTTCCCCTAGAGTATGGGCCATTTATTTCTTTGATTCTCTTTGATTCATACACCACTTCTTATAGCCACAAGCTTAAGAAACTGCAATTCACGTCAGCTGTGTCATTTAAATGCTTTTTCTCCATACTCAGGTCCCCAGCAGCTAATGGGACAGGAAAATGCATCCAGCTCTTTGTGAACATGGCAAGAAACAGGGGTGTCTCTGTGGATGAATAAAACCCCTTTGCTATATAAAAGAAAGGTTGATCACCACCCAGTGGCTTTTGAGGGGTTAAGCTTGTGCTTGCTTTGTGCCCTTAGGGACCTGAGAATTAATTTAGGAGGAAGAAAAAGCCCACTCTCACAGTGTGGCCATTTCTTCTCTTTTGTGGAGGCCTGCTGCTCTCAAGGTTTTTGTTATCTTTCCACCTTCCCTTCCCTGAAATGCGTCTTCCTGCTGTTCTTCTGTTCCTCTGTCCCAGAGTCTGTGCTGTCTCATTTGTTGGCAGCTAAATGGAATTTATTACGCTTCATTTTCTGAAGCAATTTAAGAACATGATTGTTGTACAGTTCTTATTATAGCCAAAGCATTCAAAGAAAAAAGGAAGTAGGAAAGAGAAATAAGCAAAGTTGACATTTTTCTGCGACAGAGTGAAAAACACCTTAAGACCTAAAATCAAAGAAACTTACTCTTAAAGACAGTCTATCAGTGTTGGCAGAAATACGCCCAAGAATAAAAACATCTTTGCCAAATGGATTTTTTAATATTATCTCCATTAGCTCTAGGGAACTGGAACTTCAGATCTGGGACTCTCTGGTTTTATCACTCAGTTCTCTTTATTTTATTAACTCCTAGTTATTCTTCAGTTTTCCTCTTAGATACTGTTTTCTTTTCACCAGCCTAGTGCTTTATAGCAACCCATAGTTATCTACTAACCTGTAGTCATTTACTCCATTCACCCTTTCTTTTATTTTTTTAACATCTATTTTATTTTTATGTGGTGCTGAGGATCAAACCCAGTGCCTCGTGCATGCTAGGCGAGCGCTCTACCTCTGAGCCACAACCCCGGCCCTCACTCTTTCTTTTAATTACTAATTTTCTTAACTTTCCATCCCATAAGATTTGAGAGTTCTTGACATCAGGACAGTATTTTATTTACTCACTGTACTCACAGTACTCACATAGTACTATTTAGTAAACACAGTAAATATTTGTTGAATGAATGAATGAATAAATAATTTAGGCCTGAGAAATATATAGAATTTTATGAAGAATTTATTTCTTATAATATTTTGGGAGAAATAGAAGTAATAATCATAAAACAATTATAGAACAATATGGATCCAGCTCTCATTTGCCTGAGTGAGATAGAGGCCCTCTATGTTTGTGTGAGTGTTTCTACAGGTGTAAAAGAATTTTAGATACATTGTTGGCTCAAACCATAGTATTAGATGGCTCTTTATAAAAAAAATGTAGGGTTTGAGTTCAAAATTGAAGGGTAAGAAGTATTTGTATAAAGAACATATTTGGAAAGACCCAAAATATTATTATGTTGTACCAGATTCCACAGGGCCAGAAACTTGGAGGGAGAGAATGTAGAATTAAATCAAAGCATCAACTGAAAAAAAAAAATATAGTGAAGTAGATAAAGTAGGCATTTCATAAAAACATTTTAAGGACTATTACAAATGAAAAAAGTAACCAACCTGCAGAGAAAAAAGTATTGTCCACATCACTGGTAGAAAGTAAATTACATTTAATATAAACACCCTGAGAAAAATTTCATGCAATGATTAATATATTAGCTGGACTTTAGAATATTGCAGTATTAAACTCAGCCTAAGCTTGCTTATTCCTTCAAATTTTTAAAAGGAATTTTGAAACCAGTGTTGTACTTCAGTAACATGCTGAGGCTTACTCAAAAATGAGGCTGTATCCATTTTAAATTATTTTATTTCTAAGTGAAAATAATTAAATAATAAAATATTTTATTGCTCTATTTCATTTTTATAATTCTTCAATCAATTTTATATAATTTTATTAGTCTGCTAATTAACAATACATTATTTAATATTATTTTTATGACCTAATATAAATTAATTACAGGGCTACAGCTTCTCAATTTTTGTATTACAACTAGAATTGAGAATTTAAAGTTTCTAATGAAGTTCTCTACCTGTGAACTACATTTATTTTCACTTTGAACAGAATATGATGCCATTATTTTGAAACTATATTAAGGGCAGTTGTTTGCAAGAGGTAATTTTGTAGTGATCAATGTAATTTAGCTAATATAAAATGTAAAAAATTAAAGGTATATTGGTGTTATACCTAAAATTTCTTGATAACACCGACCTTTTGAATAACTGCCTTATATTATGTTTCCATTTGGTTATTCTACATTCCTAATGATTTGTTCCAATGCATACATCTTCTCTTTAAGTTTCAAATTAAATCTAGGATTTAAAGGGCTGCAGGTATGGCATAATTGGGCATAAATTCAGGTCCTTATGAACCCCATAGCAATTATCAGTTAACCTACAAAAACTTGGTAGGAGAGAACAGAAGCAGTGGCAAACAGAGAGGCCCCATCATTACAGATTATCCTGGTGTCCTCTAGTCTGGAAGAACTAATTCTGTGTCCTGTCTCTGGTCTTTGACCTCCTCTCCTAGGAGTCTTTAAATGAATTTCAAGGCAAGTGAACTCCATCTTTGGCCCTTGGCTCAGGGGGAGACTAGGTTGGGAATTACTAAGCCAGATTTGGAAATAGAAAGTGAGAATTTTAACTAACATCAAGGTAGCAGGGATCATAGCACTGCTAAGATAGTGAAGTGCAGATGTCCCCTCAAACCCATGGCAGATTGGTTCCAGGACCCCCAGTGGATACCAACATCCACAGTTGCTCAAGTCCCTTATATAAAATAGCATACTATTGGTATATAACCTATGTATGCCTTCTTGTGTACTTTAAGCCTCTGGATTATTTATAATACCTAATACAATGTAAGTACTATGCAAATAGTTATTACACTTGTTGTTTAGGGAATAATGACAAGAAAAAGAAAAGGCCTATATATTCAGTACAGACAAAATTTTTTAAAATTATTTTTTGATCTGTGGTTGGTTGAATCTGAGTATATGGAACCCACAGATAGAGAAGACTTACTATATAGTTGTTTCACTATGGACATCTGTTTTGTGAAGAATTTTGAACTTGTTATAGATTTATTTTTGTGTAGGGCCCCAAACCATAAAAATCCCTTTCTGGTGTATCTTTAGGTCTGAAAACATTGAAGATTGTCACAACTGCTACATAAAAGTTGTCTGCAATTGGCAGGGCATAATCAAGACACATTTATTATATACAGTCAACATAGTTGAACCAAGCAGATAAAATATTCTTAACATTCTTAATGCATGCCCCCTGTCCCTACCTGGGGCTAATGAGTAATTCTACATGCCCATAAAGCCATTCAGCATACCAATTAGTGCAGGTTGATTGCAGATTCTGAAATCTGTAGAAGACTTTTCTATTGACAGAACAGCTCATTTTTTTCCTAAAATGTTTTATGTTAGCCTGATCTATAAATTCTTCAATTAATTTTCCTAAGTTTTAGTGCTACTTTTAGTTATGAATGACGTTAGGGTAAACTTTTAGAGGAAGGAACAAAATTGTTATTTTTAACCTCTAATTAACTAGAATTCTAAACACAATATTATTTTAAAGTGTTCAGCTCCAAAGATATGGAGAAGATCTGATGGCAAAACGGTTAAGATGGATACCCAGTTCACCATCAGAGCCAGAGAACTGCAGAACATCTATAAGTGCATTACACTGAGGAATCTCTCTCAAGATGAGAGAGTGGATATACTCTTAACACTTAAACATACTGTGAAGGTAGGTTTACTTTCTCTTAGTTTTGGTGTAGAGTTCAATATAAATAATAAAATTAGCCATTAGCAATATAAGTAAAGTATTTTTTGTTAAGTAATTATAAATATTTTTAATAAATGTTTATATGTATTTTATTGTATCAACAATTATGTTATTTTGATATCATTTGGGAAGGATATGGCTTGTTAATTAATATTTACCTAAAAGCTCTTAAATATATATTATACTACATAATAAAATGTAAGCAGAACTTAATGAATATTTGAAATGTAAATGTATCTATGCAGTGCATGCAAATGTAAGCAAATAAATTGCATGAGATTAATAATTAACTCATTTCCACAAAACAGCAATTATTATCTACACTTTTGGACATTTTTCAATGAAAAGCTGTTTTTCACAGTTTTAAAGCAGTATCATATAGTATTTTTCAAATCTCTTTTTCTCATCCATTATTGACTTCTGTGTTTTAAATTCTGCTTTTAATGAAAACAAAGTTAAGGGATGGCACAGGTCAAGTTTCCTCAAGAAACCGGCTCTAGTATGGGGTTTGTGTTTAGAGGTTCACCAGAGTGCACTCAAGATCACTGGTGTGAGGCAGTATAGAAAGCAGGATAGGGCAAATGGAGTTCACCTGCAGTGAAGTCTCCACAATGACTTTAGCCAGTTTCTCTGCGAACTCTGAAGCTGGGTCGGCCCTCCAGAGTCCTGCTGAATTGAAGCAAGGGGCAGGACTTTTCACTCCCACATGGACCTTCTATTGGATGTAAGCTGACACTGGAAAAGAAGTGTGATTTTGTATGAGGCACCTCTTTCTCAGTGTGCAGTAAGACTCAGAAAGACAAGTAGCCCATGTTTTCTCTCATATGTGGAATCTAGGGGGGAAAAAGCGTAGATATGAAAGTGGAAGGAGGCTGTCAGCGAAGAGGAAGGGGACATGGGGAGTGAAGAAATAGAATAAATATGATCAAAGTACATTATATGCATTTATCAAATTGTCTCAATGAAACTGGTATTCTGTACAATTAATATGTACTAAATATTATAATAATAAAAACAGAATTTTCACAAAGGAACTCAGTTGAGAGTTGTTGGTCCATGACTGGCCAGGAGGGGGAGTGTGAGAGCTGCAGTTCTGACTATAGCATACCCTGCACAAATTGCTGTTGATACACTTGTTTCGTGTAAGTTTGGGGAATAGTTCCTCAGATCTGGATAAGCCCTTTCTTCCTGGAAAAAATTACAGGAGTGTGGTTAATGAGAACAACTGCAGCCCCTGTTGTAGCCATTGGCTTTAAGGCCACACAGATACTCTTTCCTCTGCTACCCATTTTAGATTTCCATCACTCTAGACTAGCACCCTGACTGATCTGGGTGGCCAATAACTTGGGGTGACCACACCTTCAGAGCTCTAGACTATAGGTCACTATGCTTTTCTCAGGCTAAGGAGTCTAGACTTCCATTTGTTGTCAAAATCAGGCAAGGGTATACCAAGACATGCCTACTGTCTGAGTGTCAAACATATTCTTCACTGTCCCCATTAGGGAGTAAGTGGGGCCAATTCTATTTCCATTCTCTTTGTTTCTAGGATAGAGCAGTTTCAGAGGCTTCCATATGATCTTTTCCATCAGTATATTTCTTAATCTACAGGTCAAAAGATCAAGAGTAGAGTGGTTGTGCCAACTACCAAGTATTCCATTCCAGATATGAATTCAAGGACTGGGGAATGAATGCTTAAAGTCTCTATGACCAATTAGTATCCATTGAGAGCTGGACCTGGGCCAAGTTCCCTTTTCTTTTTTGTTTCCACTTACCCCTGATTCTCAGGGGGTCCTGGGCCTTTATGTCCCGAATCCTTAGTAATTGGTCATTTGAGTCAGGATATCACCAAGAAGAAAGCATGACTGTTTTAGTTAATTTTTTTGCTGCTGTGACTAACCGATTGACCAAAACAATAGAGGAGGAAAAGTTTATTTGAAGGCTCACAATTTCAGATGTCTCAGTCCATAGAAGGCTGGCTCCATTCCTCAGGGCTCAAGATGTCAAGGTGAGGCAGAACATCAGGGTGGGAGAGTGTGGCAGAGGGAAGCAGCTCACATTAGGAAGGAGAGGGGGGGAGAGAGGGAGATGGAGAGGGAGAGGGAGAGGGAGAGGGAGATGGAGAGGGAGAGGGAGAGGTAGAGAGAGAGAGAGAGTGAGTCCACTCTCTAGACAGAAAATATACCATATAGCCATGCCCCCAAGAACCACTTCCTCCAGTCACACCCCACCTACCTCCAGTTACCACTCAGTCAATACCATCAGGGATCAATTCACTGATTGTGTTAAGATTCTCACAATCCAATCATTGTTTCTCTGAGGTATCCTCAGATGGATTCTTACTGCTAAGCACTCTAATTCTTTTGAGAAGAAACTGCACCAAGACACATGGCACTCTTAAAATACATCAAATAGCTGAGTAAATGGTTCTTATTGGGAGACAGGTTCCCATAGTATCTTGCATTTCTGCCTATGTTGAGAGAACAGGCTTTCACTGCTTTTGTTCTGGACTGCCTTTTCAAAGATCGTACGTACTGTAGTGATCAGCCTTGATAGGTAATGCTAGTTAGGTAGAGAGGGGAATCAATAGGTGTAAAGGCAAGAAATAAATGTGACATTTGTAGAGGGCAAAAAAAAGATAGGGAATTCAGTAGGAATCCCTACCTGACCAAATAAGGAGCAGTACTCAGTTAATTAAAAATTCCAATGATGAATTCAAAAGATAACTCATGCATATTAATGTTTCAACTTAAAATATTCAGATATACACATATATATGTATATATATATATTTAACATGTAAATATATATATATTTAACAGTATTTTGATGGAGTATGGAACAGTATTTGATAATATGTAAATATATATATATATATATATATATATATATATATATATTTAACAGTATTTTGATGGAGGATTAAGGTAGGTGAGCATACCTTAAATTCTGACTCTATTCACTTATGATTACACAACCTTGAATAAGTTCCTTAATATTTCTGAAAATTAGTTTCATCATTAGTAAAATTAGTCACTTCAAGAATATGTATATGTGTACATATCTATCCACATATATATAGATATATACTTATTGTCTCTCCTAATGGGGAGCCCTCTGTGAACAACAGGTTTTATTTTGATGACAATTACTAACACAGAATCTTAAACCTGAGTATACCTTATAACCTTCTAGGGAGCTTGAGAGAGAAAGAGATCATGAAGGAGTATGAGAATAAATAAGAGTGATGTCTAGGTCTCATCTTAGGGCAGTTAAACTAGACCCCCAAATGTGAAGACAATATCAAAACCTCCCCCAGTTCCTTCTAGAATGCCTGCAGGGTAAAGGACCGATGATGCAGACTTTCAAATTAGCTTTACCAAGTAAGCGTTAAGAAGCATGAAAGAACGTTATTTTACTCCTGCTCATTGCCTTCTAACTGTATTATCTTGTTCTCCTCTGGGCAGTAGGAGGAAAGTATTTCTGTTTTACTACTTATAAGTACTGCTTTTATCCTGGAACTCTTACCTGGGCTTTCTTATTTATCTACATTCATTATTATTACTTTATAATTTCTAATCACAAACCCCTTTCCCACCTGATTGCAGTCCTCTTGACTGCTAGCACTTACTATCATGCTGACTTGCATGGTAGACATTTCCTTGTTTTTTCTTTAGTTTTACCACCTCTGTATAAATAATATGGTTTAGTGTTGCTTATTTTTGAATTTTCTTAAATTATACTGTATTGTTTCATCTTGCTTATTTTGCTTAAAAATCACTTTGTAAGATTTAAGCATATTATTTTATAAAGCTAGAGTTCATTAATTTCCATAAGTTAGATAATATTCCATTACACAAATAAACTGTAATTTGTTTAGGCAATCATTTTGTTTACGGATGTTGCTTATTTCTAGTTTTTTGACTCCTGTGAACAATAGCCCAAGAGCATAATGACTGGGCCAATGACTATGCATATCAACTCTACTACTAGACAATGCTAATTTTTTCCCCAATTGGTTATAATAATTTCTACTTCTAGCAGTATTGTATCATTTCTCTTAAAATGTAGCCTCTGGTTGGTTGGGTAATAAATTTGAAAACAAACAGTGATTTTTATAATTTTATATTGAATATTTTGTGTTTTGTATAGGAACATGAATGTAAACTGACCCAGGAAATCCTAGAACTGATTGATAGAGAAGTTGACCTTATGATGAGAGGAGTCAAACCTTATAACCTTGAAGGACTCAGAAAAAGAATTGCAACACTCTTTTTTCAATATATTAAAACACCTCTGTTTAATCCTGAAGTGGCAAGATACTTGAAGGTACTATATTTTTTCCCCTGTATTCCTTTTTCAGAATCCTACATGCAATATGTTAAATTGGAAGATGCTCAAATTTTGCTTTAACTCTTTTTTTTTTTAACATATTTTATTTTATTTTTTTTAAATTTTTTATTGTTGGTTGTTCAAAACATTACAAATTTCTTGATATATCATACTTCACACTTTGATTCAAGTGGGTTATGAACTCCCATTTTTGCCTCATATACAGATTGCAGAATCACATCAGTTACACATCCATTGATTTACATAAAGCCATACTAGTGTCTGTTGTGTTCTGCTGCCTTTCCTATCCTCTACTATCCCCCCTCCCCTCCCCTCCCCTCCCCTCCCCTCTTCTCTCTCTTACCCCCTCTACTGTCATTCATTTCTCCCCCTTGTATTATTTTTCCCTTTCCCCTTACTTCCTCTTGTATGTACTTTTGTATAACCCTGAGGGTCTCCTTCCATTTCCATGCAATTTCCCCTTCTCTCTCCCTTTCCCTCCCACCTCTCATCCCTGTTTAATGTTAATCTTCTTCTCATGCTCTTCGTCCCTACTCTGTTCTTAGTTACTCTCCTTATATCAAAGAAGACATTTGGAATTTGTTTTTTAGGGATTGGCTAGCTTCACTTAGCATAATCTGCTCTAATGCCATCCATTTCCCTGCAAATTCTATGATTTTGTCATTTTTTAATGCAGAGTAATATTCCATTGTGTATAAATGCCACATTTTTCTTATCCATTCTTCTATTGAAGGGCATCTAGGTTGGTTCCACAGTCTTGCTATTGTGAATTGTGCTGCTATGAACATCGATGTAGCAGATGTAGCAGTGTCCCTGTAGCATGCTCTTTTTAGGTCTTTAGGGAATAGACCGAGAAGGGGAATAGCTGGGTCAAATGGTGGCTCCATTCCCAGCTTTCCAAGAAATCTCCATACTGCTTTCCAAATTGGCTGCACCAATTTGCAGTCCCACCAGCAATGTACAAGTGTACCCTTTTCCCCACATCCTCTCCAGCACTTGTTGTTGTTTGACTTCATAATGGCTGCCAATCTTACTGGAGTGAGATGGTATCTTAGGGTGGTTTTGATTTGCATTTCTCTGACAGCTAGAGATGGTGAGCATTTTTTCATGTACTTGTTGATTGACTACATGTATGTCCTCCTGGGAGAAGTGTCTGTTCAGGTCCTTGGCCCATTTGTTGATTGGGTTGTTTGTTTTCTTATTGTCTAATTTTTTGAGTTCTTTGTATACTCTGGATATTAGGGCTCTATCTGAAGTGTGAGGAGTAAAGATTTGTTCCCAGGGTGTAGGCTCCCTATTTACCTCTTTTATTGTTTCTTTTGCTGAGAAAAAACTTTTTAGTTTGAGTAAGTCCCATTTGTTGATTCTAGTTATTAACTTTTGTGCTATGGGTGTCCTATTGAGGAATTTGGAGCCCGACCCCACAGTATGTAGATCGTAGCCAACTTTTTCTTGTATCAGACGCTGTGTCTCTGATTTGATATCAAGCTCCTTGATCCATTTTGAATTCACTTTTGTGCATGGAGAGAGAAAGGGGTCAGTTTCATTTTGTTGCATATGGATTTCCAGTTTTCCCAGCACCATTTGTTGAAGATGCTATCCTTCCTCCATTGCATGCTTTTAGCCCCTTTATCAAATATAAGGTAGTTGTAGTTTTGTGGATTGGTTTCTGTGTCCTCTATTCTGTACCATTGGTCCACCCGCTTGTTTTGGTACCAGTATCATGCTGTTTTTGTTACTATTGCTCTGTAGTATAGTTTGAAGTCTGGTATCGCTATACCGCCTGATTCACACTTCCTGCTTAGCATTGTTTTTGCTATTCTGGGTCGTTTATTTTTCCATATGAATTTCATGATTGCTTTCTCTATTTCTACAAGAAATGCCGTTGGGATTTTGATTGGCATTGCATTAAACCTATAGAGAACTTTTGGTAATATGGCCATTTTGATGATGTTAGTTCTGCCTATCCATGAACAGGGTATATTTTTCCATCTTCTAAGATCTTCTTCTATTTCTCTCTTTAGGGTTCTGTAGTTTTCATTGTATAAGTCTTTCACCTCTTTTGTTAGGTTGATTCCCAAGTATTTTATTTTTTTTGAAGATATTGTGAATGGAGTGGTTGTCCTCATTTCCATTTCAGAGGATTTGTCGCTGATATACAGGAATGCCTTTGATTTAGGCGTGTTGATTTTATATCCTGCCACTTTGCTGAATTCATTTATTAGCTCTAATAGTTTCTTTGTAGACCCTTTTGGGTCTGCTAGGTATAGAATCATGTCACCTGCAAATAGTGATAATTTAAGTTCTTCTTTTCCTATTTTTATGCCTTTAATTTCTTTCGTCTGTCTAATTGCTCTGGCCAGTGTTTCGAGAACTATGTTGAACAGAAGTGGTGAGAGAGGGCATCCCTGTCTTGTTCCAGATTTTAGAGGGAATGCCTTCAGTTTTTCTCCATTCAGAATGATGCTAGCCTGAGGCTTAGCATAGATTGCTTTTACAATATTGAGGTATGTTCCTGTTATCCCTAGTTTTTCTAGAGTTTTGAACATAAAGGGATGCTGTACTTTGTCGAATGCTTTTTCCGCATCTATCGAGATGATCATATGGTTCTTATTTTTAAGTCTATTGATGTGGTGAATAACATTTATTGATTTCCGTATATTGAACCAGCCTTGCATCCTAGGGATGAATCCTACTTGATCATGGTGCACAATTTTTTTGATATGTTTTTGTATCCGATTCGCCAGAATTTTATTGAGGATTTTTGCATCTAGGTTCATCAGAGATATTGGTCTGTAGTTTTCTTTCTTTGAAGTGTCTTTGTCTGGTTTAGGTATCAAAGTGATGTTGGCCTCGTAGAATGAATTTGGAAGTTCTCCCTCTTTTTC